GCCAGGATCACCACAATTTTCTTCCTTACTCGGTTTTCTACATTGCTTGTTTGTTCACGCCTTTATTTACTCCTTGACTTATAGATTGACTGCATGTATACAAGCTGAAAATAAACGACTTTCCCGCTTCACTTATTCAATCAAAGGAATAGCAGCACAGCAACGCAGTGGTATAAACGTATGAGAGAGACTACACGATGAAAACCGGTAAATATATATATTTGACGGTCTCTCTGATGAACTTTATCGTTAAGCGCATGTCTCATTTCATCGAGCAAATGAGAGGTACTGGACTTGAAGTTTCCTCTTGTCAAAATAACAGTCCGCTCGAGATCGATGCTCCTGTGCCAATCAAGACATGCTTAGATTGTTGAGACATGTGTTACGCATGCCATCAAACAAATTGGCACCACTGGCGATGTTTTCCGAGGTAAGTAGTAGGTTGGAAAAAAACGAAGATGCTCAAACTAGGCCTGACATGAAGATATGAAAGCTTCGAGCAGGACACTCCATCATTTAGGTGGCGTTAGGCTCCCTGGATAGAGATCTCGGAATCATTATACGCGATGAGTAGAGACAATGAGTGATATGGCTATGTCGCAAACAGTAGCGCTCATAAATCTACCCATTAGGTTCGCAATTTTAGTCTACCGGAATTCTCCATTTTCTTTCTTCAACTCTACCACATACTTTACGGTCCTTCTTCTACCCCGTCGTCCATATGGTCAGCAACCAAAATCGACTCACGGTAAATGATTATAAAACCTGAAGCTATCCAGAAATACTGTTCCAAATGTGTTCAGGTATCATCTAAGATGACAATGATTTCGCTCATTTTACGTGTCAGCAACAAACTGAGACATATCGATTTTTGGTTACTCTAACAGATCTCTAAGTAATTGAGCTTCGTCGTTTGATTGCGTAAAATTCTACCACAACGGATCCGTTAGGCTAAATCCGTAATTCCTATTTAACTGACAGTGACTCATATGCAGTTTTGTGATATGAACTGCAGTTTGCGTATAAATATCTAGCCCGAAGAAGGATCAAACCACATTAATATCATTTGACTTAGGATTAACTGCGTTGCAAATAATCCGTACTATTTAAGCCCGATCCATTTGGTAATCTTCTAGTTCGGTTTCTCAGTACGTATAACTGAGGAGTAGACTATTTGACCAACCCCTGTTCTACTACTGGTCACACTGTAGCGTTCACTGGAAATGAAAGGATTTTCTTAAGTCCATTTCTAAGTATTACCTAGTTTGTTCCTTCGCACGCTACGCGCGAGTAGAGTGCTTTACATTGTCACTAAAAGACATGCAGAATTTCATGGATGCGTATTTTATTTTTCGTATAAGTTACACAAATAACTCCTCCCAAATCCCATTGCAGTCTATAATCACAAAAAAGCAATTCAATACACTGTCAGTTTGTTCCAGTATGAATTTCTGTGACTCATCGTACTTGTTCGCTTGCAGAAATTAAATCATATGGTCCTCCGATCAGTCACATGTTTATAATGAATTTTGTCTTCTCACACACTCACAGATGCATCGAATGCGGAGACAATTTGTGCGAAAATTGTGCTCGGGCGCATCGGTTAACAAAACTAACTCGTCTTCATACACTGATACATTATCAGGTAAGTGTACCAATTGGAATTATCGATTGAATTAGCTCGCTTTACTCGGCGAACGATTCATCCATTCATTGGTCATGGGAAGCCTGGTTTTATCAGGGTTTAGAGGACAGATGAAACGTATCCTGTCAAAATCGATACAATGGATACTACAACATGGTTCGTTTGGAATGAAATACACTGCCGGATTTGGATTAAAAAGCCCCAATAGAGAAAGTATATGCGGAACAATCCATAAACCAGCTCTGCATTTTAGTTTATCCTTAGTTTAGACATATGCACGTGGAGTAGTGGTGGTAGTCGTGGTCTTGGTCGTGGTGACGGTGGTGGTGGGAGTTGAACATAGACACAAGTGGATGACCTTCATTGATTTTTTTAAACAAAATTGAACATTTAGTTATCTCAGTAGGTTTTAATGATCATTGCCAGTGAACATTTATCGCTTTAATGTTTACTTCAATTGTTTACATACGACAACTGGTTTCCAAATGTAATAGTGTTATTTTCGTTGGTGGATGACGAATCGTGCAGTGTACCTCAACACAGGCGATGACTTCAAACATAGATCGACACCTAAACGGTGAATTTTTTGAATTAGTTTATTCATTTTTTCACATGCTCTAGGCACAATCGATAATCTTGTGTGTTTCACTTTTTAGGAGATCGCTAATTCCTCAAAAAGTAACTGCATTCAAATGCAATGGAAATATTTGTGATGGCGGAAAAAGGAGCGCTGGATAGTTTCTTCATCCTGTTTGGGACTTGTCAGTGCCTGGTGCCTGTGAAAAAACGAATGGACTAATCCAAACATTCACCGTCTAAATTGATTGAACCATTCGCATAAGGTGATGACCTTCAACCGTGTAGCTCAGGGGCAAGGGTTAGAAGTGCCAAACTCGAAGGCTCACGTTTCGAGTCCTCACACGGGGACACAAAAAGTACACACTGCTGACGAGTCCCAAACAGGACAAAACAGCTGTCCACTGT